AAGTTAAGTATTTGTGCATAATGTGTATATAAATGTGTGTGTCTACTACATCTTTCCATTATGAAAGTACTGTTTCCTATTGTACTTAATAAGTGATATGTAGGATACTTTGAAACCAGGTGCATATCTTGCTTCCCAAATACCTTTCATTCTATGAATTTTGTATCCTTGCCTAAATGAATTAGATTTGGATGGTTGCAAATGAATCTTTTTATTGTTTAAAGTAAACTTTATCAAAGTACACTGAATCATTTTTAAAAATCCTATTTTTTGTTCCATAGCCAGCTTTGAAGGCTGAATGGTCTATATAAAAATGGCTTCCTTTCTCTTTAACTTGGTCTGTGTAGACCCCAAATCAATAGGCTTATTTCATGCTGCTCATTGTCTCCGTGACCGAACTGAATACCACTGACATTTTCTGTTTTCTCTAAGACTGTCTGACACTTCCAGAAGAAAATTGTATAACATATTAGCCAATCAGACAAGTAAATTATACTTTCGATTTTAGTATCTGAATCAGCATTGATTAGTAAAATGTAGTAGAATAAAATTTTATTAATCTAGTCTCTTTCTGTACTTGACAGTTGCTTTTTGAAGTTTCTGCCAAAGACTGGTTCAATGATACTACCCATAAGCAGTATTTTTCTGAGTACAATATTTGAAATCTGTCTCTGTAAAATAAATTAGGAAATTTCTTAGTACTGCATTTTTTTACTGTCTGGTTTAAATTCTTTGAAAATAAACTAGGTCCTTTTGAGTACAAGTGACTAATATGACATAATTTATTTCAGTTCAAATTACATCATATAAAATTAGGCTTGAAGAGAATCACCATGTACATGAAAGAGCTTTAAAGTTTGTTCAAATTATAAGGTTCATGTTTTATTGCTCTATTAAATATTTAACTGGAAAGAATCAAGTGAGGTAACTTTTTGCTTGGAATGAGGAGAATAGAACATATTCTCATGCTGCTCTAGTTCAGAGTTACTTTGAAGTAATTAGGGAACTGCTAGCACAATCTAGACTTCTTAGTATTTTATCAATAAAAAACAGAATTAAAAAGCCAAATTTTTCATCAGGAAGTTCCATAGGATGTACTCTAGTTAGAAGCATTATGAAATCTCACAGTGTTAGGTGAATAACTGTTTTAATACCAAGAAAAAATCTTTGATTTTCCTCTAACTTGAACTGAAGGTGATTATAAATCTATAAAGTTACATAAAACAAATTTTTCATATCCCAGAATGTTGTTGTAGATAAAATGAAGAACTCAGCTTCAGAGTTTTGAATTCCGGTCCCAACTCATCTATGTGGCAATCTCCCCAGGCCATGGTTTGCTGGATTGTAAAAAGAGATAGAGGAATTAAGCAGAAAGATTAAGATCTTTTGCATATTTAATTCTGTATCATTTGCTCGATGGTATTTGTAAATGTACAAAAATGACACCATATAATTAAAAAAATATGCATTGAGCATAATATTATGTGCTGGATATTGTTCTCAGCTCTGTGAATACAGATTACCATACACCCTCTCAACTATGGAAGAAATGCAAATATATCCAATTTAACAAGTGTTTAATAAATCTTGACTCACAGAATATGTTACACCCGTTCTATAATTTACACTCTTGTCCCCGCCATTCCACTGAAGCTGCTCTTGTCATCAGTGACCTCCATGTTGACACATCTAACCATCAGTCAGTTTTCATCAACTTGATCTCTTCATAGCATTTCACTCAGCTAACCATTTCCTCTTCCTTGAGGCATTTTTACCCCTTGGTTACTAGGACACCACTCCATGGTTCTATCACAATGGCTGCTTTCCCTCCCAATTTTCTTTGCTCTTTCTTTCCATCCCTTTTGATCTCTAAATGTTGGAGGGCTCCAAAATCCACCCTTAGACCTCTTTTATTCTCTATTTACACTTATGCCCTGGGTGATTTTTATCTAGTCCTATGGCCTTAACTACCACTTACAGCTCCCAACTTCATATCCTTAGTACCATTTCTTCCTTGAACTCCAGAATCACATACCAAGGACCTATTTGACAACTCTATTTGGAAGAAAATCCAAACGCCACTCTCCCTTTGCTCACTCTGAGACTCTGGGATTTACAGGAGATTTTTGAGAGGTGTATTTGGGACCAATATCTGTGATGGGTGAGGGTGCAGGAAGCAGCACTGCATAGTGTGAGAAGCTGAAATGCTCATGCCGTTACGTCAGAGGCCTCAGCTCATCCCACCGGGAGCTCTGAAACTGGGACGGAATTCCTCCAGTTGAGGCAAGAGAGATCTATACTACTGCATGAGCCCGTTATTGGGTGCAGGCTGCCCCCAGAAAGGGGCATAACCTTGTCAAGGCAGCTTCCTCCTACCAAGAGCAGTCCTGGAAAGGACTCAGCTTGAGCCCTCAGCAGACAACATCCATGGCAGCTGGGGAATGGGTGGCTTGTCCTGAAGGGGGCTCTGGAGCCACAGCTTCTCCTGTAACCACTATCTGGTAGCATCTCGTATCCAGCATTTTCCAGCCCTTATGTGGCTTTATTTTTTCTCAAAGTCTATCCTATGTGTTTTACTTGTTTGCCTGTTCCCTACTAGAATGGAATGCCATGAGAGTGATACTTTCTTTTCCTCTTCCTTCTTTAATCCTATATCCCTAGCATCTAGACAGTGTCTGGAACATAGTAGATGCTCAATAAAGATTAGTCAATGAGTAAATAAATGTATCACGTGCTTACTATATGCTAGAAACTATGCCATGTTCTGGGACTCAGAAGTGAACAATACAGGCTCTGTCACTCACCATGTTGCTTGCAATCCAGTAGAATTTATAACTTAAGAAGTGTAATTATAGCCAAATGCTGTTATCTAGTGTTTTACTAATCTGTATAGATTCAGCACATCTGATAGTCCATTATACATAATTTGTACTGAATGGCAACACCAGAAAATGGTAAAATCAGTGGAAACTTTACTTAGTTATTTTATTGTTACTGCTAATTTGGGGGAGAAAAAGTCAGATCACTGGGGTATATCTCTTTTGCTCAGATCAGGAAGAAAGAATAAGGGACAAAATAAGAAAGGGACTAACTCTGAGAAAATGAATACTTAACTGGAATTTTTATTAACCAAAATCCTATTGTCTAAAATGCTGGAGAGCAAGACTTTAATTGCATCTAAATAGATAAGGGACAAAATTTTTTTTAATGAGCAGATATTTTAAAGTCAGTTTACACATACAAATATAATTTGCCCATTACTTTCATTTCAGTGGCCATTAAAATGCAATAAAGACTAGAAAATAACACTTCAGCTTTTGAGTCATTGAGAATCACAAGTTCATCTTTTAAAAAGCAGGCTATCTCCTTAAAAGTTTTGTTCTTTGCTTTCTATAACATATTTTATTTCCTTTCATAGCCATCTAAATAATTTTGCCTTATGGAGCTTTGGCAAGATGAATCCCGTTTCCACCTCTGCTTATTTTATTTGAAATGTGAAAGCCTTTCACTCTGTGATTTCTGGATGATAGTGGACATGACAACGAATATTTTAAATCTTGGTTTGTCATAAACAGGATATTTGGCATTTCTAGAATAACTGGCATGGGAAACCTCTCTATTTATGTATTTTCTAGTCTCTTTGCTTCCTTGCTTATTATTGTTGCAATGTATGAAATGTAAGTTGGGTCTGAGCAAGTTTGTGCACCTATCTTCTGTGTGTACTTTATACTAGGAGCAATGTAAGCCTTGAGAAGATTCTAGCCCATAAGAATGTCTGCCTTAAAAGTGAAGAAAAAAAGAAAGGCAAGATGTTTTATGCTTTTGAAATAATAAGACCACTGGGTCTCACTTAGTCTTGATTTCAGACAACTTGACATTGTCTTATTAAAATATATTTCAGACTTCTAATGAATACCTTAACTATCAATTTTATTTTAATTCACTGAGATGTCACCTCTATTCCTGGATACCTTTTAGAAAAGATTAGACAACTATTAGCCTGGTGTTGTAGTGTGCAGATCCAGTAAAATTATACCATTGTTTTGACTAATGATTAGATGGCAAGGTCCTCATAGCAGGTCTTTCAGAGCACAATAAATATTAGAACTTCACAAATTACCCTTGCAGATAATTAATCCTCCTCCTACAATTGAAGGTGATACCCTAGTAGTTCCTCTAGGCACAAAAGGGCTGCAGCAGTCCCTCAAAGAAACCTTTGCCTGCTTCACTCTGCCTATATTTCTGTCCACCTACAGTTCATCCTCCGTTATCTCATTCTTCATCTGCTTTCCTTGAGCCTCTCTGCTTCTTCCTTGTTTTGTGCATTTTTCTTCCTTTTCTGATCCCAGGTTGTTCATGTGAATTGACCAGAAATTGTATTGCAAATGTATACTTTATGTGTACTAATATTTTTCCTATGAAATTTTTCTTTTTCCTGTTAACAGTTTTAAAAATAGGAGAGTAAAATTCTTCAATTATTTTTAAATTTAAAATCTTTTCAATTTTTTCTGTAGATCTTGACTTTTGTGGGGAGCTGTAGTTTAAGTTGAAAAAAGACTACTTACTTACTCCAGGTTTGGTTATTCCTCTAAGAATAGAGCCCTGCCCCATAGTACGTGTCCACTAAGTGATTTTTTAGGTGAATGCTCAATGTGCAAATGCCAAATTCTTATGAGGGCACTAATAGGAGCTTTTGTAGCATGCAGCATCCATCAGACACAGATAGGCATTCATCAAGATGTGAATCTCCAAAGGGTGCTGCTTATTTGTTTTTGATTATCTGCACATCAAAATCTTGATGGTAATGGCCAGGTAGGGTTTGCCTGGATGAGGTTTCTATATGTAACACTACCTAGAGGGGTTCTTTAATCAGAAATCTTATGAACACTCAAAAGAACATTCTGAGAACTACATATACTTTATTTTACTTGCTTCTTTCTGTTCAATAAATTCTAAAACAGTGCTTCTCAAGTCATAATACATAAGTGATTCATCTAGGTACCATGTTTAAGTGCAGATTCTGACTCAGTATATCTGAAGTATAACTTCCAGTTCATTTCCAAAAAGCTCTCATGTGATTCTGGGGTGGCTGGTCTGTGGATCACGCTGAACAGCAAGGGCCTAAAAGGGAAAGAGTTGTGTAACAAAATTTTCACAATCATCCTTGAGGTCTTTCTCATTAAGGAACTGTTGCTAAGCCTCAGCTAGTGGAGGTCTGGCCTGTATTCTTTCCTGTCATCTGTCCCATCTTGGGCTGTCCGTGTTTGCTGCAAGGATTCGTTACTGATCACATAGAGTCCTTAGTATTGACTTGTTAACCCTCGAGAGAGCCGCTGGTTACTAACTGGTGCACTATTTGGATGCTGATTCTGGCAACTGCTTTCTCTGAAGCTTCAGTTTTCTTTGTTTCATGGTGGAGGTAGATGGCAGGGTGGTGGGGTAGGCAAGAAGGATTTCTTGCTTTATATGTTAGCTTTACAGCACTGTAATACTGTCTGTGTGGTATCAGTGGGGGGTTGGGACTTTACTGTCAAATAATGTAAGTCTCATATATGTTATCTCATTAAATTCTCACAGCAACTCAGTGATATAGGTAGTGTTAATATTATCATTTCCACCTATGGAAGAGAAAACTGATATTCCAAGTAGTTCAAGAACTCCTAAAAGGTCACAAAGGAAGTAAAGGGCACACACAAAGGAACTGGGGCTCACACCCACATACTGCAACTCCAAATCCAGTAGGAAGATGGATGGAGAAACCTTTGGGGGTTTCTTTATGTCCCTACACATCCATAGATCTATTTTTCTTTGGTTGTTCATTGGTCCACATTTCTAAAGAGTTACCACCAAGAATGACTTAAAAATCTTGATAGTCTATTGACTTCTGTTTGAGAAAGATTATTTCTTGGCTTTAAGATAAAGTGGGAGACCTATAATATATACACAGAGACTGAAGAGGCAAAATTAAATGAGGATAAATGCTAAGAAGTGGGATTACCTTCCTCCTCAATTTTCCTCTTCCTCTTCCTTTTCTGTTGCTATGGAAAGGAAGACAATTTTGTTGGCAGTTAGAACCTTAACTTCTACCACTTTATACATTTAATTTTTGAGATATTTTCCATATTTTATTAAGAAAATATTTTTTCTAGAGATCCGCAATAGTCAACGTTCAAGATGCGTGAAGACTAGAATACACAGTATAGCTCATATTCACATTAGATGATATGCTTCGCAGTGACTGAATGCACTGGGGATGTGATTTAAAGGCAAATGAATGGTGTATTTGCATTTAGTATTTCCTTTTCGAAAATTTTCAGGAAGAAAGAACCAGGCAGTTGCTGTAATTAGTACACTGATGGTTCAGTGGATACAAAAATGTAAATCATTACAAATTGAAAAGTGCGAAAACAAAAAAGCTTTAACAAATTTCTTTACACAGTATTTCCTATAGGTCTCTAGTGTATTCCATGAGCAGCTAGGATGGGGCATAAATTTGTCAAAAAGATTTTAATACCTTTTAGTTTAAAACAGACTAATTCACATATTTTGGGTAAATATTCATTGTTTCTGGTTACCCTTCTCCCACCCAGGTCTTCTTTTAATGGTCTTAGAGGTGGGATTGGGAGAGGGGGTGCTGGTCCTTGAGGTGTCATAGAGCTGAATTAAAATAGGCCCATGAGGACACTTCTCTAGCCTTCTCTCCACCTGGACCCCATCCCTTAGCCATTTCCACCCAGTGTGCAGTGCCATGTTGAAGCTGGGGTTCCTCTAAGAAACTGAAACTGAAATTGTTTTGAAATTGTCACAATGTATTTCCAGAGAAGTTAGGAATGACCCCCTGCTGTAAAAACCTCTAATCATATCTAATTATCTCCATCTCCCTACTTGTCATTATTTTGATCCAAAAGTGGGCAGGGAGGCTACCAGCCCATGTAGGTTCTTTGTAAAAATTAGAAAATGATATTCCTTTGGTGGATATACCCTTGCGCCCAGCTGCCAAGCTCAGCAAGTTGAACAAGGCCTGGAGAGCCAACCCGATTTGCCCCTGGGCCAGGCCCCCGTGTGAAGTAAGCAAACTGCACAGCCACGTACCCTGGCTCTGGGGGAAGAAGCCAGGATCCAAACACCTGCATGGTTCTTTCCCTCTCCTTCTCTGATCTCCTCACCTCCTTCCCCACAGAGCTCCCACTTCCCCTTTTTCATTAGGTAGGCACGAATTTCCTTTACGCGTTATCCTGAGTTACCATCCATGGCTCATGTTAGAGCTCTGCCCACTGAGTCGACTGCATGTGGTTATCAAGCTTAGTCTTGCTATGAACTAAATTAACCCCCAAAAACTTAGCACCTAGCACCTTGAAACAACAAATGTTTATAATCTCACACAATTTCTGATGGTCAGGAATCCAAAAGTAGCTAATTTGGATGGGTTGCAGTCAAGCTGACACCACAGAGTGCTGTCTCTGAAGACTTGGCTGGGATTGGAGGCTTCATTTCCAAGCCCTCCCCTGAAGCTACTGGAAGCACGCTTCAGTTCCTCATCCATAGGCCTTTCTATAGGGCTGCTCATGACATGGCTTCTGCCCAGAAAGAGTGACCCAAGATAACCTAACCTCAGGAGTGACAGTCTATCACTTCTGCCATATTCTATCAGTCAGTCACAGACCAGCCCTTGTACAATGTGGGTGTGACAGGGCAAGAGGGTCAATACCAGTAGATTGGGACCAGTGGGCACCATCTTAGAGGCTGGCTACTACATTGTTCTGCCAGTGTTCTTCAATGGAACAGCACTGGCATGTGGGGTAGGACAATTTTTGGTTGGATGGACTGTCCCAGGCACTGTCAGACATTTCACATCCCTGATCTTCATTCTCTAAATGCCAGCAGCCCTTCATATCACCATGACAACCAAAAGTGTCCCCTGCAACATTTCCAAGATGGGCAGTATTCACCCTGGGTTCACAACCTATCTAGTATGTGACCTATGTTTTGGAAGTTAATTCAATTAAAAATGTATCAGTTAATTATTTTCAAAAATATTACAACAGTTGCATTTGTATCTCCCCACATGGTTTGAAGGAACTGAGGGATTACCAGTCTTATAATATTGATGACTATTGTCTGAGAGAGCACTGAACTTAGGCAGAAATGCACCCTTAATTTTGCTCCTACCATTTGATAGCTGAGGGCCTGGAGCAAGTCATTAAACTCTCTGAGCCTCCTCTGTGAGCAGGAGGTAATACTACGCACCTCACAAGCTGAGAGCTAAAGAGAACAGACACTTTGGGACCACACATGGCTCAGTCCTTCCTGAGACACTACAGCAGCTCAGTCCCTAGAAGCTGCTATTGTTTCCAACAGAAGAGTTGCAGGAACTTGCTCACCCCACAGGCCTATGGAAGGGGCCAGGATGTGTGTCACAGGACAATCAGTGCAAGCCTGGTTTCACTCTTTCCCAGAGGCCTGAGCTTTTCCTAGCTACAAGGTAACTGCTGGGCTTCATTCTGCGGAAACACTTGGGTGTCTGCTAAGCCCACTATTCCTTCTATCCTGTTGCCTTTCCTGGTCCCTGGCCAAGGTGTAACTCTTTCAAGACAACTATTTCCTCCCGTTTCACTCCTTGGTTCTGGGTTTCCTCATCCTCGACCCTAATTCCACTGTTCTCCTCCTACTGAGCATTTCCATTTTCCTTTCTGAAGGTGATCACACCCCTTCCACTTCCATCTGAGCTGCCTCCACTTCCTGGAAACCTGGCTCACTCCCAAGCATGTGCAAGCCCTGCAGCATTCTCAAGTTGTCTTTGCATAATAGCTTTCAGGCAGAATGCTTCCAATCACAGCTTCTTTGTTGTCTGGGCTGGGGAGCACTGCTGGAGAGAATCACCAGCTTTCTGGAAGGGTGCACTCCAGATTCATGCCCCACCTCCTGGGCCATCAGCACTGCCCTGGAGCCCCTGGCTTCCCTGTCAGTGCTGTGCCTTGGCCTCCCAGCATCCTCCACTCACCTCAAACCTTCTACTTCACTCCTTCACACTTTTACTTCACCCTGCTTTCAGATGATCTTGCCTGCTACTCCACAAGAACACAGAAGCCACAGACCAGAAAGCTCACCATTTCCAGCCATCCTCTGACCAATCTCACTTGTGCCTGCGCTCACTTTCCCCCAAGACTCACCTCCTTGCCTGAACCTAGGCCCTCATCACCTTAGGCCTCTTCAGGCACTTCCCTCCAACAGTGAACCTCTCTTCTGTATTTCAGTCTTGAAATTTTCACTGGATCCTGCCCATTTAACTAGCCTCAAGCCTCTTTCATGTTTAAAAAGCAAACTTCCTCCAACTTTTCCCTTCCTCCCTTGGAGGGAAAGTATTTCTTCTTTCCCTCTCCTCCTCCTCACAGCCCAAGTTCTTGAAATAATGGTTAACATGCTCTTCAGCTTCTCACCTCCCTAGCCTCTCAAATGACTGCAGTCTGCTTCTACCCACAGCGCTGCTCCTCAGGAACTTCTCTCACCAGGTCATAACCACTTCCTTATCGCTGAATCTCCCCAGCAGTTCTCAGTTCTTATCTGACTTGACCTGCCACCATCTGATGCCATCAGCCACTCCCTTTCCTGTTGGAATGCTCTCTTCTTCTGTCTTCCATTCAGCTACATGTTCCTGGTTTCCCTCCTCTATGTCTGGCTACCCTTTCTCAATCTCCTTTTTGACACCCTTTCCTCTGTCCTTTTCTGTGACTCAGTGCCTTCAAATCTCTGACCTTGATTGTCTTCCCTTCTCCTGCTCTATACTCTCTCTAGGTGATCTCATCCATTCCCAAGGCTACAGTGTATTTTTACATGCAGTCACCTTTGAAACTATGCCAGGGGTCCAGAAGGCTCTCCTGAGCTTTAGACCCGTATTTCTAAAAGTCTTCTACCTGAATGTCATGCAGATATTTCCACTCAATCAGGGCACAATTGTGCTCTTCATTTCACTGCTAAAATCTGCTCCTTCTCTTTGGCATAGTCCTCAACTCTTGCCCCTCCCTGACCTCCACATCCAGTGGCCAGATCTGAGCTGCCTCCCTGAAACGTTTCTCAGCTGGGAGTGCTTGTCTCCACTTGCACTGTTGTTGATTGCCACCACAGCCTCCCAATAGGTCTCTTAGTTTCCAGTCTTCACATTGAACCCCAGTGATCTTTCTGAATCTTTAATCATGTCCTTTCCCTCACCCCTGCTTAAAATTCTTCATTAACTCCCTCTTGTCCACAGGATATGTCTGTGTCTGGTTGATTGGTCTGATCTGGTCTCTTTCACCCTCCATCTTATCACTGCCACCCCCAACCTGTCCTTCAACTGCATGAAACCATTTATAGTTCTATAAGGTTGATTGTTATATCTTGTCTCTGGACTTTTGAAATACCCTTTTCCCTGTTCCTTCCCTCTTTGCAGGTTAACTCCTACCCATCACTTTTTCCATGATGCCTTCTAAGGCCTTCTTGTAACAGAGTTAGATGTTCCTCCCATTTTCTGTCATGTTACCCTGTGTTTGCCTCAATCATAGCACCAATCATACTTTTACTGTCCATCCACCATTAGACTTTAAGAAGAGACCTTTTCCTCTTTGTGGTTTTAACGCCAAACACTCTAGACAGGGCACAGTACATATTAGTAGCTCAATAAATAGCTATTAAATAAAGAAATAAGTGACTCTATTGATGTATATCACATGAATGGCATATGATGGAGACTTATAAATTGTAGTTGAATTTGAACTTCAGGAGAGGGGATATTAGGAATAAGCAATGAATTTAAAGGGGATAAAGAATCAAGAGATGTTCCTCCTTGCATCATTTTGCTGGGTCCAGGAAGCCAGATATTCCTTTGTCCTTACCCTTTACCTTCTTTGGCAGAGGAAAAGCATCTGCTTACTGGAAAAGCCACTGCTGACCTTGGTGTTGCCATTTCAAAGATGATATTAAAAACAAAGCATGGGCCAGGTAGAAGAAATAATTCTTTTCTGGTTTTCTTTACACAGTTCGGGTGGAAAACAAGTTAACACTC